CCCCCCCCCGTTTTAATTTATCGATCTGTGCCAACAGCCGGGACAAAAGAAAGGAAAACAATTCTTCGTCGCCTTTTCCTGAACTCCGTCGCTGCCTTGAGCGCGCTGAAATAGGAGCAGCGATAGATGGTCGGAAATACATGAGCGTGCCTAAGAATTCCTCATCTATTTCGAGGCGATTAAACCAGGAATTGAAGACAGCTCTGCTCACTTGCCCGGCGTTTTGACAAAGTGACTCCCCGTATCACCTAGAAGATGCTTTAGGTGGAGGACAAGGATCTTTCTCAGCCTCTTGCAGAACATCTTTTCTTTTTGCTCAGGAAGAAATCCAGGCCCGTCTGCAGGCGCTCAAGGAAGAGAGAAAAAAATGCCTGGAAAGCAGGAAATCCGGAGAAAGGAGGAGCTCATATCTGGTAGGTGCCCTTCAACAGGAGCCTGTCTCCCCCCACCCACCCCACACCGAGGCTGCACTGCAGTATTTTGAGGCCGGATCTGGTCTATTCGGTTGCTTTGCTCCAGGGAGGAGGATACACCGCGATACCCTCGAAGAAGGGGCAGGTTGGGAGCGATGAGCCTACGGGCAGGGCAACCAAACCGTCCTGCTATCTCATCTCCCAGGCCTCCTCCCTGGCCTCCCTTCCCTTCGCGGGGCGGTTTGCAGTTTGCGCTGGGCCCCGGCCAACCTTGTCCTTATCTGCCGGGGTTTCGAGTCAGCTGGAGCCCGCGATCCCTGCGCCGGGGAGATAATTGCGCGGCCGCCGTTGGCGGGGGCCCCCAAGCCCTGCAAGGAGGCATGGAGCTGAGGGAACAGCTCGTGGGCAGCCCCAAGCCTGGTGTAGACAGATTGGCTGTCGGGGTTTTTTTCTTCCCCTGGACTCTGTACACCTCCCTCCAGTTTGGAGTCCCTCTTCTGGCTCTTGTTTTGAGGCTGCACCTCCCGAGTAGCCCTGGGCGTTATCTGAATCTCCAGCAAGATGGTTTTGTCTCGTTTGGGGTAAAATTCACCCTCGCGTTCCAGGGTGCAACGTCACAAGGGAGCGAAAGCCCCTGAGGACCTGCCGTCTCCAACCCCGCGGAGGGCCTCGAAGTTTTCACCTGTTTCTCTTGGGGGTGGTGGGAGAGGTTTTTAAAGACTGCTGTGGCATTTCTTCTTCCGCATGGGGAAGTCTCCTGTCACTCTTCCTTTGGTCTCCATCTCTGTCCCATCCCGGCAGGAGAAAACCAAAGATGAGAGGGAGAAGATAGTGCGTGAATTTGAGCATTTGCACCAGTTTTTGAAGGACCAAGAGCACCTCCTTCTGACCCGGCTGGCAAACCTGGACAGGGCCATCACAAAAGTCCAGGAGGAAGCCACAGCGAAGATCACAGAGGAGATGTGCCACCTCGACACCCTGATCTGGGAGATGGAGGGGAAATTCCAGCAGCCGGCAAGTGAATTCCTGCAGGTGAGAGCCCAGAGCATCCAGGCTGGTGGGAGAAGTAGGAACAGAGCAAAGGGTGAGACCTGGGAGCCCAAACTCAGCCCCTCCAGAGCATGCATGAATGCACCGATTAATTGGCAAATCCTATCCGTGGTGGCTGCATGTGAATTCCCTGGTCTGTTCTTGCATTGCTGCAAACATCATGCCACAGGCAGGGTCTTCCTTGGCTATTGCATTGCCATAAAAACACATCAACTTTGTAAGAAGAATGATGTTTAAGCATTCCTCTCCTCTGTCTCTCCCTCTCTCTCCCCCCCAGGACATCCGAAGTCTCCTGAGTAGGTACTTGGCTCCTTCTCGCTTTCCCCACACTCTGGGATGCTTGGAGAGCTTTGGATGCCGCGTGGGTGAATCCTGAGGTCCCGTTTCCAAGCCAGATCCATGCAATCAACAGCTCGGCCCCCTGCAACCGCAGCGTGGCCCTTTGGGTTCGCAACCACCCCTTCAGCAACTGCTTGGAGGGGCCCCGAGGGCAATAAACTGCAAAGGAGCAGGGCAGGGGGTGAGGGCCCATGTTTGCTCCCAAATAAGTTTATCTTGATGGTTCGGTCCCCTCCATCCCATAGCTTCTCCCTAATGACTTAATGAGGATAAGCTGCTGAGTGTTTAAGTGCATCACACAGGTTTTGCTCTCCCTGCAGCTGTGAGAAGATGAAGTTCAACCCTCCCGTGGACATTTCCCCTGAGCTGGAAAGAAGGCTTGAAGAGTTTGTTCAGAAAAACGTCCGTGTTAGATGCACCCTGAGGAAATGCCAAGGTACTGAGCAGGGTTAGGAGAGGGCACGTTGCCTCGCGTGCCCAATGTCTGGGAGAAACCAAGTTCTCGTGTGCCAGCTGCTAATGCAAAATCCACCTAGGAACCGTTGCAAACAAATGCAGCTGAAACTTGTAATCAGAGAAAGACACTGACAGTTTTTCCCTGAGCAAAATGAGTTGGTTGGGGAGCAGAGACGAGCCAGGTTCCCTCCTCCTCGCCCTGCTTGTCCCGTGTGAAAAGCAAATTGAAATGGAGCGGCTCGGGCAGTTGGTTGTTCCCACCACTTCCAAACTGGTGGCAAAAAAAAAAAACCTTAAGCTCCATGTGGGTGTAGAGCTGGGGAGCGATGCTGCAACCTGCAGGACAAGTCGCTCTCGGCGCCTCTTTACCGGCGTGAGACGATGAGTTTGGCCTAGCCAGGAGGTTCCCCTCACCTGCCTGGTGGAGTTGTGTAGTTGTCACGGGGTCGGTACTTGCACCAGAGCGGGTCACGCCAGGCTGTTTGCAGCCAGCCAAGCTCTTGCGCCCTTGAGTCTCTCTTTAGCTCTTTTTCCTCCCCAG